CTCAGGCAAACAAAAAAAAAAAAAAAAAAAAAAGTCATTGGATTTGAGGCCAGAACTCAGGTGAAGGAGCTGGATGGGAGTTCCCCATGGGGAGTTGCCAGCTCTTAGCCTGGTTTTAAACTGTGTTGTGGAGGAGCCGATCCAGGGAGACTAGACAGGCAGGGGAAGGGCTGGGACTGACCCCTGTGCTCCCAGTGACCGAGTGGTTGGGGGCAGCCCAGGTCCTAGGGCTGCAGGAGCAGCTGCCATTTATCTGAAGGTGCTGGGCAGGGCTGCACTGAGGCCCGCTGAGAGGAGGGGTGTGGCTAGACTGGCCCTTATAGAGCAGCTGCAGCAGTACACGTGCAGGCCGTGAGGCAAGCCGGAGCTGGAGTCACAGAGGGGGACAGGCCCATCACCCTGGGGGGAGGGCAGAGGCAGGGGCGGCAGGCTGCCCAGAGGATGGTCCCTCCCCCTTGGAGCAAACGGCAGGTCCGAGGGGGCTGAGGAGGGTCAGGGCAGTTGGGACGCCTGTTGGACGGTTCTGGGAGAACTGTCTATTCTTTTCTACGGTAGACTCGAGAAAACACACCTCTTACGGACACGCACAGCACTTCTGAGCGAGAAAGCCATTCTTTTTTGGTCCTTTTTCTTTTCTTTCTTTTTTATTTATTTGCCATAGGGCACATGTGCTTGCTGGAGAGAGACAAGAGAAAGTGAGGAAGCAGGTGCCAGGGGAGGGCCACACTCTAATCCTTTCTCCTCCATTCTCCTCTTGGGATTTTGAGCATGCACGCACATGTGCCCGGTGTGGTTTTTCAAGCTGCCAGGTCTGGTACTCACAGTTGGCCATCAGGGAGTCCAGCGCCTTAACCATTATGCCACCTGCTGGCCCCAAGAGTGATGTTTTAATATCCAGTGTTAGGGTAAGAAGTTCAGATGGAAACAGCCAACACAATTGTTTCCAGTCTTTCATGAGGGCAAGATGCACAGTCAGGTAGTGCACAGTCAGGTAGTGGCCCGTAGAGCATCTGAACTGAGTTTAAAGCATCGTATTTGCTACTTTCTTTTTTTATTTTTTAAATAATTATTTTATTCAATTTTATTCATTCATTCATCTATTTTAATTTGACCAGAGAGAGACAGAGAGAGAGAGGAAAGTGAGAAAGCAAGCCACCAGATCCAGGACCCGAACCGTGGTCAGCCACGTGGGAGTGTCCAGCACCCTAACCACCACGCCACCTGCCAGTTCCCATATTTGCTACTTTCTAGTTCCAGTTCTCCCTGGTGGCCTTGGGCCCCGGCTTTCTGTATTTTATTTCTCTGTGTACACACAGTGGAAAGGCTCCCACCCCACGATACTCTAGTGCACAGGTATGGGCCGTAGCTATAGCTCTCCACACCACCTTTTTTTTTTAAATTTATTCATTCATTTATTTTTAATTTGACACACACACACACACACACACACATACAGAGAGAGAGAGAGAGAGAGACAGAGAGGAAGTGAGAAAGCAAGCCACCAGGTCCGGGACTTGAACTGTGGTCAGCCGTGTGGGAATGTCCAGCACTTTAACCACTATGCTAGCTGCTGGTTCCAACCACCTTTTTTTGGGTGGAGGTTTTTGCTATACGTGTGTGTGCTTGCCAGAAAGACAGAGAGAGACAGAGAGACAGAAAGCGAGAAATCATCCCTCGGGGGGATGGCCACACCACAATCCCTTCTCCTTCATTCTGCTCTTGGGATCTTGGGCATGCATGTACACACACCTGGTGGGAGTTTAAACAGCCGGATCTGGGATTTGAACCGTGGTCGACTACATGGACTCGAACTTCATTGACATAGCCATTACACCAACTGCTGGTCCTGACGCTACCTTTTGTTTTTTTTTAAGAATTATTTAACTTAGGGACCAGCAGTTAGCGTAGTGGCTATGTCACTGGACTCCCACGTAGTCGACTATGCTTTGCATCCCGGACCCGGTGGCTTAAAACTCACGCTGGACGCAACTGCGTGGGTGCCCAAGATCCCGAGAGGAGAATGGAGGAGAAGGGATTGCCTCTCTCTGTCTGTCTGGCGAGCACACGGGTCCTATAGCAAAACAAAAAAACAAAAAACAAAACAAAACAAAAAAAACCTCTCCAAAAAAAAAAGTAAAAAATGAATTATTTAACTTTGTTTATTCACACATTTATTTTAATTTGACCAGTGAGAGAGAGAGAGAGGCACAGAGAAGGAAAATGAGAAAGCAAGCCATCAGGTCTGGGGCTCAAACCATGGTCGGCCACGTGGGAGTCTCCAGGGTTTTAATCACCATGCTACCTGCTGCTCTCTGTTATTTAATAATACAAAGCCTTCTACAACTATATAATGTCCTTATCCCTCTCATAAAGAAAAAAGAGATACAGTTTGCCCTTAATAAGGAGAAAAGAGATTGCCTTTATCAAATTATTTTGGGACTTTAATGGTAAACTGCTGAGTAGCTTCGGATTTCTTTGGATTTGAATATATCCATTTCTCTGCTGGTAATTGGTTTTGAACTAGAATACCGAGCTCCTGTTTTCCATGAGCTGCATCAACAGTATCAAAACCCAGAAATAGGAAACTCTTCTTATATCTGATCAGGAATCATGGAAATAATGCAGTCTATTTCTTTATGTTTAACAATTTGCCAAGGGTGTGTGTGCATGCAGCAGAGAGAGACGGGGTGGTAGAGACAGAAAGCACCCTCCTCCCACGGGTCGTGGTCCTACCACCATCCTCTCTCCTCCACTTCTCCATCCCGGTGGGATCCTGGGCAGGCATGCACGTAGGCCTGCTATGTTTTCCAGGCTGCTGGGCCAAGATTTGAGTCGCAGTCAGCCATGTGGGATCTGGCTCACCAGTCAGCTGTGGGGCTGGCTCTGTGACTTCTTTTTATAGAAGTCCTATTTAAAAGAAGAATATTTCTTTGTAAAATTTTTCTTCTTGATCGTAGCAGGTGGAATAATGGTTAAGGGCTGGACTCCCACATAGCAGACAACGGTTCGAGTCCCAATATGTGGCTTGAGAATTATGCAAGGCACACGTACATGTGTGCCCAAAATCCCAAGAGATTACGGCATGACTGTCTTCCCTGGGGAGTGCCATTTCACTTTCCCTCTCTGTCTCTTTCTCTCTCTGGTGAGTGCACGTGCCCTATGGCAAAAACCCTACAAATTCTTTTTTGTTTATGGGAGATCACATGTGCATGAGAGAGAGCGAGAAGGAGAGAGGGGGAACTCACAAAGGACCTGGTCACCTCAGGACCGCTCCCTCCAGTTCTCCAGCCTTTGGGGTTCTGGGCACTAGCAAACCTTCCCTGCTGAGATCTGGACCGCGGCCAGCCCTGTGGGATCCGGCTTCCTTAGCTGCTTGGCTGTGGGGCCAGCCTGCATGTCAGAAACTGGGTAGAGAGTCTGCCTGTTCTTGGAGCACAGCAAGCACACATAACTCAGAGTGTGGGCTCAGAGGCAGGAAAGGCATCCTTGAGAAACTGGCGGCTGACATGAGCCCGCTGGGGAGCTGACAGTCGCCAGGCAAGGGGAACCTGAGGTCTGGACCTGGCTCTGCAGCGAGGCTGTGTGTGGAGGCCAGGGCTCTGGCAGGCCCGGTTCACTGGTGAACCTGGTCTCTCTAGAGCTGTACCGGGGAGTCTTTGGCAGGTCGGAAGTGGAGAGTGACTTTGGGACCTGTGCTTTGAGAAGGCCACTGTGGCTGGGTGTGTGTGGAAGGGACGAGGCCAGGGTGGTGTAGGTGGGGAGAGTTAGAGGGCCCAGGGTAAAGGCCGTGGGGGTGGCAGGGGCAGCCACATGTCATATTTTTTATGGGGAGGGTATTTAGTAGGGCCGTCCCGACACTGCCTGGGGCTCAGAGGGAAACACACAGGCTGGCATTTCCTCGCTCTGCCTTCAGTCTCGATCTAAGGTCAAGCAGCATTTGCAACAGAAAGTCAGTTCCGGGGTAGCCACAGGGTTGGCTGAGAGCTCTGGGCTCATCTGATGGGCTTTAGCTCGTATTGCTGTCTGTCAGTAACACGCTTTAACGAGAGACTCCCCTCTTCTGAACTTCCACAGGCTTTCTTCTCAGTAAGACCCCTTTCTCAGTGAGGGCTGTTTTAATACAGTTCCTATTATTCTTTAAAGACATCTTAGCTTTTTTTTTATAAAAAGAACTATTTATTTAATTTTATTTATTCAGTCATTTATTTTAATTTGACCATAGATAGACACAGAGAGAGAGAGAGAGAGAGAGAGATGGAAATTGAGAAAGCAAGCCACCAGGTCCAGGACTTGAACTATGGTTGACTATGTGGGAATGTCCAGCACCTTAACCACCATGCCACCTGCTGGTCCCAAAAACATCTTATCTTTTAAGAAATGCAATATTCTAGAGATTAGAACTACTTCCACATGATCCTGGAAGACTTCAGTACAGTTGCACCTGCCTCTGAGTTGGTGAGGAGCTAGGAGCCCTTGAACGATTTCCTGGTGTCTCTGTGCCCACACTGATGGCGCTGTTAGCGAGCACCCCTGCCCGGCCCTCTCAGAGCGTCAGGGAAGCCTGCTCTGACATCGCGCAGATAACGGCCCGTTCGCTTATGCCGGATGGCTGGCTACGATAGGCGTCCTTACAAAATAATGGTAGGTGTGAAGTTCAGAAAGTGGAAGATCACTGATTTTTCTAAAAGGCTGAGACAGACTTTCTGTGCTAGTGCTGCAGCTGGAGGATCGGAGAGGAAGCTGACTGTTGGTGAAATGCGCGGAGGAGGCCTGCTCATCCGCACCTTTGAAAAGTCTCAAGGCAGCTCGTTTTGCAGCGAGGACCACTCCAGCTTGCCTCGCCAGCCCTGGTTGCTGCTGGCTTTAAATGAGAGAGCCTGCCGTTGCCTTCTTAGTGTTTTCAGGAGTGAGAGTCCAGTAGTGTTTAGGCAGTGTGCTTCCAGGGCAGGGTCATGCAGTAGTGAAGCTGCATTGCTTCAGTTTTGCATTTTGTTTTGCAGACATTACAAGAAGCGGTGCCAAGGACGCATGCGGAAACACGTGGGGGACCTGTGCCTGCAGGCGGGCATGCTGCAGGACTCCCTGGTGCACTACCACATGTCGGTGGAGCTGCTTCGCTCTGTCAACGACTTCCTGTGGCTGGGAGGTAAGACCGTCTGGTGGAGAGGTCGATACGTCTTTGTCTCTGCTGTTACAGAAATATGGGACAACAGGAAAAAAAGTCTCCAAAAAGGGTGAGGGAAGAGAAGTGGGTAGCCTGTGCACTTAGAGAGACAGAAAGTGAGAACTCACCCCCAGGGGATGGCCGTGCCACAGTCCTTTCTCCTTCATTCTCCTCTTGGGATTTTGGGCATGCATGTGCACATGCCCGGCATGAGTTTTAGGCACCGTGTCTGGGACTCTAACTGTGGTCAAGAGTCCTTTGACCAACCATTATGCCATACGTTGGCCCCCATCTACAGAATACTTCACATGCACTGAAACGTCATAATTTGGCTTCTTAGAGGACAGAAAGATGGCGATGGGGAAGGAGAGTGATGACTAGGGATCGTTGGAAAAGAAAGGGGGGAATGGGTGGGATGAAGCAAGAGAAGGGCAGCCCGGGCTCTCCTTCATTCTCTCCATACCCTCTCCTGCTAAGGTGGGACATGCCTGTCTCCCTGTGCGCAGTGAGACCAGGGCCCGTGTGGCAGCACGTCTCCTGAGAGAATAGTACAGTTCACACACTCGCCTCGCACTGAGGACCCGGGCCTGGGACGCCTCGAGAGGCCGGGCGCCGGGAGCACGCCGCGCTGCTTGCCTCTTGGGCTGTCTCCCCTCAGAAGAGCACAGCGGCATTTTCCCGAGGCTGCGGGATGCACGGCATCGTGGCAGATGGAACCGGAAGCAGATTAGGAAATCCAGCTGACTTGAATTAAAGCAGACAGTGGAGACAATTGTGAGGGCCAGCCTGGAGCCAGATTCCACCTGCTGACCGTGGTTCGACTCCTGGCCCCAGCAGCTTGAAAAATGCCAAGCCCGTGTTCATGTGTGCTTGAGGTCCTGGCCGGGTGGAGAAATGGAGGAGGGTTGGGGCTGTGGTTCTCTCTCTCTTTCTCGCTGGTGAGAGCGCACATCTTGTCACTAAAAACATACAAAAATACCGTCAAAGTGTAAAACAATGCTGGTCTTCCAGTACAATATTTTTGTTTTGGAAAACAAATATTTTCCATGAAAATAATGACATATGATAGGCTCTTATTTTAAAAGGGATTAATACATACATATCTAGATCCTTTTCTTAGCTTTATTTTCCAGCATAGTACATAGCTGTAGATGTAGCTCACATTTTTTTTTTGGAGAGGTTTTTGCTCTAGGATACATGTGCTTGCCAGAAAGACAGAGAGAGACAGAGAGAAAGTGAGAAATCACCCCCTGGGGGGATGGCCACGCCGCAATCCCTTCTTCTCTATTCTCCTCTCGGGATCTTGGGCACACACGCACACGTGCCTGGCGGGAGTTTAAGCCACCGTGTCCAGGACTCAAACTGTGGTCGACTACTTGGGAGTCCAGCGATGTAGCCCTTACACTAACTGCTGGTCCAGATACAGTCCACATTTAAAAGGAGCTCTGTGTCCTTAGTAATTTTTAAGTTGTCAGGGACTGGAGACCAAAGGCTGGAGAACTGCGGAGTTCATGAAGGAGGGTGTAATGCGCGCCCTAGTCCAGGCTGTGGCACGTGGCCAGTAAGGTGATTTGGACATAATTGTCCGAGAGTGGAGAGGCAGGCGTGGGGCAGGACACAGCCGCCTTTGTGAAGAGACACTCTGTAGGTACCCTGCCCCGAGCAGAACGCATACATCGGGACGTGTGGGGTGCAAGGTGTCTGGTCCTGCTTTGGTAGAATAACCTTTTTATTTTAAAAAATTTTGCCAGATGGCGTGTGTGCTTGAGTGTGTGTGTGTGTGAGTGTGTGTGTGGGTGTGTGTGTGTGAGAGAGAGAGAGAGAGAGAGAGAAAGCACCCTCCACCCCGCAATCCCTTCGCCTCCATTTCTCCCTCCTCTTGAGATTTTGGGCACGCAGGCCCATGTGTCTGGCCTGTTTCTCAAGCCACTGAGGCTGGGATTTGAACTACACAGTCAGCTGTGTGGGATTCAGCCACCAATACCACTACACTGCAGGCTGGCCCGGTGAGGTTACTTTCTTTTTAGGTTTTTGCCACAGGGTACATGGGCTTACTGGTGAGAGACAGAGAGAGAAAAGAGAGGGAAAGTGAGAAATCACCTCCTGGTGGGGGAGAGATAACCATGCTGCAATCCCTTCTCCATTCTCCTCTCAGGATTTTGAGCATGCACGTGCATGTGCCTGGCATGATTTTTCAAACTGCTGGGTTCAGGACTCAAACCTCAGTTGGCCATGTTGGAGTCCAGTGCCTTAACCTCCATGCCACCTGCTGGCCCCAGATGAGATTACTTTTAATTATTTCCAATCCGGGACACTTTCTGCCACACTCTGTAGCTCCAGGGCTTGCCGCACACTGTGTACGAAGCTGTCAGTCACTGAGCGAGGGAGTGGATGAAGGAGCGGGCGGATGAGGGCCAGCCTGTGTCTCAGGTGCACCCAGCCCATCAGTGGCACCTTGAGTGTCAAGAGTTTTCTGGGGACCAGCAGGTGGCATGGTAGTTAAGGTGCTGGACACTCCCACAGGGCTGACCGTGGTTCAAGTCTTGGACCTGGTGGCTTGCTTTCTCACTCCCCTCCAACCCCCTCTCCATGTCTCTCTCTGGTCAAATTGAAATAAATGAATGAATAAATATAAAATAACTCTTAGAAACAGTTTTCGGTGTTGTCAGGCTTGACATGGCACGTGAAAGGTGGCAAGTTCTCGTGCTCAGAACTCCTGATCTTTAGGTTTAATCTTTGTTTTGGGGAAAACTGGCATTTCCAATAGTCTCAATTCTTTTAAGTCATCTTAGCCACTGCAGTGTGAGCTGATGAGGGCTGCGAACTTGGCTAAGTATGCCTTGTGTTTGTTTTTACCACCCAGCTGCCCTGGAGGGGCTCTGCTCGGCCTCTGTGATCTACCACTATCCCGCTGGGACCGGAGGTAGGAGTGGAGCGCGAAGGATCCCGGGAGGCTCACTTCCTGCAGAAGCAGCCAACAGGCACCGGCCGGGTGAGTGCCTCTGCGCCCTTGGCATGCTCCGCGGTCTGGGAAGAAGGTGGGATGTGCCGCGTCTCCGAGTTGGCCCGACTGCCGTTGCAGGGGTGATGCCATCTGTTGCGTCAGAGGTGCTGCACGGACACCTCTGCAGTGCCCATCGAGTGGCTGTCCATCTTACCGAGTGCTGCCAGTGGGTTGTGACGGCTGGTCCATTTCTCAGACACTGGCATACAATTCCATGGTAGAATGGCCCTGAGGTTCTGTGTTGGGGTCTTTGCCATCATCTCCACCTGTTGGATGAACCCAGTCCCAGAGGGTTTATTTGGTTTCTTCTAAGGTTTTTGCCATAGGGCACATGTACTTGCCAGAGAGAGAGGCTGACAGTGAGAGGCAAACAGAGAGAGGGAAAGTGAGCACTGGCCCCCTCGCCACATTCCACTCCCTTCTCCTCCACTGTCCTCTTGGGATTTTGGGCATGCACACACACGTACCTGGCATGATTTTCAAGCTGCCAGGTCTGGGATTTGAACTGGGGTCAGCCATGTGCGAGTATAGTGCCTTCACCACCACACTATCTGCTGGCCCATCCCAGAGTGTTTGAATAGCTACTTCAGACCTGGGGCTGTTGGGTTTTTCTGGGGGGAAGGGCTCTCAGTGAGCTCAGTGTGAGCTGCTTACATTGGTTAGCCCCAGATAGATGTCCCTGCAGGAGCAGACCCACTGGTGCTGGACGGACTGGGACCGTTTGACCCTCAGTGAGTGAACTCGCCTCTGATGGTTTCGGATACAGTTATTACGCCGTGTAGTTCCCGAAGATGACGACGATGAATGCGGCACACAAGGCCGTACAAAGCCCTTTGTCCCTAAGATTCTTAGGTTGTAGACGGCCCACGCTTTCCCACAGAGAAACACGGTAGTTCACGCGTGGGAAGTACCTGGGATTTCTCTCCGGCCTGAGTCTTCGCATCCCCATCTGCAGCAAAGAGTGCAGACTGCTTTGAGGAACAAGTGATGCTGCACAGTGGATCCAGGTGCACCCCAAGGCAGGCGGCTCCCAGGCCCTGACGCTTCTGGGAGAGACGCTGTTCTTCTTAAGTAGGACATTCCTGCGGGTGGCAGCTCGGTCATTTGAGTGAATCAGGCTGGGCAAGTGTGAGGTTAATAAAATAGGGACGCCTCTGACCGGGGCTTCCTGCCTTTCGGTCTGCCTTGAGATGCTCTGTTGCGCTCACCATGCGTTGCTGTCCTGGTATGTGACGATGGCAGTTTAAGTCTGTTTTTTGCAGTCAGCTCCCAAGTGTCAACTCCCCAACATGCTCAGAAGGGTGAAGCAGGGTGAGTTTTCCCTTTGAAAGGGAGCCTTCTGTGTGCTCCAGGAGTGCCTTTGGTTGGAGGATTGTTTTTGCCCTGTGGTTTGAAGAGTTGTAAATGTGTTGAGAATGTTCACATGATAAGTGAGATTCTAGAAACTTCCTAGAGTAACATTTCATTTTTTCCTTCTTGCTGACAATAGGCCAAAAGAAAAGTTTAAACAAGTTGAAAAACTGCTCTGTCTGCAGGGAAGAAGTGTCTTTATTTTTTAAAATTTTATTTTTTAAAAATTTTATAATAGCACTTTTTTTTTTTTTTTTTAAGAATTATATTTTGGGATCAGCAGTTAGTGTAATGGCTGTGTTGCTGAACTCCCATGTATCCGACTGAGATTCGAGTCCCACACCCGGGGGCTTAAACTCATGCTGGGCACATGTGCATGTGTGCCCAAGATCCTGAGAGGAGAACGGAGGAGAAGGGATTGCAACGTGGCCATCCCCCCTGGGGGGTGATTTCTCGCTTTCTATCTCTATGTCTCTCTCTGTCTTTTTGGCGAGTGCACGTGCACTATAGCAAAAACCTCTCCCCATCGAAAAAAAAAGAATTTTTTAAAATTTAATTTTATTTATTCATTCATTTATTTTAATTTGATCAGAGAGAAACACACACACACACACACACACACACACACACAGAGAGAAGGAAAGTGAGAAAGCAAGCCACCAGGTCCAGGACTCAAACTGCGGTCAGCCCTGTGGGAGTGTCTGGCACCTTAACCACCATGCCACCTGCTGGTCCCTGGAAATGTCTTTATTTTAATAGCTTTGCATAGTATAAAAACTTGGCAGCTTTTTACTGTTGAAGACAGCGGTGGGGGGAGCTCTTTGGGGATGCCTCTGAGGGCTGAGTCTCTCATTCGGAAATTGGTGATGACTCCACGGCCTCTAGGCAGCAGCGCCTCCAGGTGATCGACCGACTTGGTCCTGTGAACACCTGTGCTGGCCTAGCTGGGGCGTCCGCCTCAG